GAGCCCACACAGCCACCTGAGACCCCACACAGCCACCTGGGAGCCCACATATCCCACCTGAGACCCCACACAGCCATCTGAGAGCCCACACATCCACCTCGGAACCCACATATCCCACCTGAGACCCCACACCGCCATCTGAGAGCCCACATATCCCACCTGAGACCCCACACAGCCACCTGGGAGCCCACATATGCCACCTGAGAGCCCACACAGCCACCTCAGAGCCCACATATCCCTATACAAAAACACAGAAAATCCCCAGCTCACCTGCCAGCTAGCCTGCAACCAAACAAGTAGCCCTGTCAACAGTATGCGTTAAAATCAGAGGTTTTAGTTGCACAAACTTTTGGCCAAAAATATGTAGAAGCCGCACCGCCGCGCCAAGGCACCTCTGCAAGGTGTGGTCCTAACTCTATGTATCCGAGTCTCCAAGTGTGAGCATATTAATGCAGTTGATAAATTGCATGCAGGTGTACCAGGAAGTAGCCAACTCCTCCTAATAAGGTGCAGGGACGCACTGGAGGCCCAGCAACCAAAAATAGTCTAACTAGAAAAAACATGGTACTTGCATGAATCTATAACTAGCCTTTACGGCAGGGTGCACACTGAGACCCCACACAGCCATCTGAGAGCCCACATATCCCACCTGAGACCCCACACAGCCACCTGAGAGCCCACATAGCCACCTGAGACCCCACACAGCCACCTGAGAGCCCACATAGACCACCTGAGACACCACACAGCCACCTGAGACACCACATAGCCCAACTGAGACACCACATAGCTCACCTGAGACACCACACAGCCACCTGAGAGCCTGCATATCCCACCTGAGAGCCCACACAGCCATCTGAGAGCCCGCATATCCCACCTGAAACCCCACATAGCCCACCTGAGACTCCACATAGCCCACCTGAGACTCCACACAGCCATTCCTTAGCAAATTGCATTTTCCTTATCTTTGTGTGAAACATATGACCTTGAAGCTTTTCAGCTAGTTTCCTTCCTTGTAGCTGTTCTATGGTCCATTAATTTTACAATTCGTATAAGTGTATGTCTTTTATTGGCTTATGCTCCGCCATCGCCCCTTTCGTTGTCCATATAATCTTTTGTTTTAACAATAAACCTTTAAATATAGAGTGAATGCACTGTTTTGTGTGGTTCTGTATTCCCAAGTAATTGTCTGAAGCTGGCAGCATGATCGGATCCCGGGAAACCTAAATCGAGTTAAGTTCTACCAAGAGGCCTGGGTTCGAGACCCACTACTGGGGGGTTTGAGGCCCTTCAGTGTAACTTTCCTGTGGGCCTGAGGCCCTGCTGTGTAAATTTCCTGAGGGACCCTAACACAGGGTGATAAGGAGGTGGGATTTGTTGATGTCCAAGGTTGACCCGGGTGATAAGGGGAGTATTGGTGATCAAGCAGGTTGACCCGGGTGATAAGTGGGGGTATTGG